GAGGGATTGAGGGAGGGAAAGGATTGGGCCTCCGGTAACCTCACTCACACGGCGAAACACAACGCTGTGGTTATTTCACGCCGGTTTTCTGTGAGGCCGTGGTATCACTCCGGTCGAGCCGACCCGTTCGTGACGAAGCATGGCTTTCCCACACTTAATGAGTGTAATTATTATCCAATTATTCATAGTCCAGTATTACAAATGATGATGGTACAAAACACTTCCGATATAATAATATGTACTTCCTAAACATATTTCAATGTATAGGAATGTACTTGAACGCAGTCAGAGCAAACTGTTTACTCAGAACTCGAATTCTGCACTTGATTTTAATGTTAACTAACTCCTCAATGTTAACAGCATTATGTGTGTATATCTATAGGTACTGATGTAATATTATAAGGTTGAAGAGTTTGTTTGTTTGAATACGTTAATCTCCAGAACTGCGTGTTTGGATTGATCAATATTTTTTGTGCTAGCTAGCCCGTTTATCAAAGAAGACTATAGGTATTTTTTGGGACTAGCCCGTCACAACATCCCTATACCCACTGCTGTAAGCTAAGTTAGTTGAGCCTTAAATCTACAAAAGATCAGATCAATCAATCTCATTTGTCAAATTTTGAGGAAGAATACCTCATTGATTATTTATTATGTTTTCTATCCTACTGTAGCAGCGCGACAGTCGCCGAGTCGCGTGTCGCGGAATGCTGCTCATGAATATGGGCCTCTAGCATGGCTTGAAACTAGTCGAGTATCTCGTCAAATTATAACGTGAGTAAGCCGAAAACATAATAAATAATTTAGAATGTCTCACGAAAGTTATAATAAAAATACCTCATTGATTTATTTATTTAATAAAACCTAAATATCTAATGGATTTAACTAGTTTATCCAGTTAAGCAAATAGGTATGTGATCTATCGTTTTATAGAGCAAGTTAGCGAAATCCTCTCGCATTACAATAACAAAAGAATATGCATATTACACGATGAACTTGACACGTTTTGTCATCAAATGTTTTTTAGTAATAATTAAATAATTATTTCGTTTAAGGTAGGTCATCTGAACTCTTAGGTAACTATCCAAAGCTAAACAAAGGTCTAATACGCCTTTTCGGGGGGAGAAAATCGTTAAATAACTAGCCGTTCTTCTCTGCCGTCTGCCGGGGTACAATTACTGAGGGCCTACGATGACGTGTTAAATCGTGAATCTTTCGGGTGAGAAAGAGGGATGGAGCTATACATCTTTTATAGCTCCATCCCTTTTATCCTCATCTTCATGGTAGGCCCACTGATCAGTAATGTGGCGATTACACATAAAAGATTGAAAAAAATAACTTATGACATCACAAATCTACTATGCTACTATTGCGCTCAGGCTGAACTTGGAGAGGTCATCCCAAAAGACGACTGTAAGTCTGCCAATGCCATACACTATCACCCTTCAAAATCGAAGGACCTTTAGTTTCCAGATCTTAAGGAGCTTTTTTACTCTCTGTTCCCCTAATTCGGTCCCGGGATTTGGGTTTTGGAAATTAAGGGATTGGGAGAGGAAAAGGATCATTCGGTAACCTCACTTGCCTTGTAAGGCAAACCTTAATTAACGCTGTGGTTGTTTTGTTGTGGTTTTCTATGAGGTAAGGTTGAAGAAGGTTAGACTCTTCTTCATCATTTAACCACAAGACTACTACTTCTTGTTGAACATAGACCTTTCCGATGCCTTCGAGAATGGCTGATTGGATTGGAAGTGACCTACATCCAGCAACTTCTTGCGACCTTTATCGGGTCATTTGTCCACCTTGTAGGTAGACCTCTAGCAAAAAAAGTAACAAAAGTAAAAATGTAATAATTGGTGAAAAGATAATGAGTGACCTCGGCTTCTTTCTTTAGGAAATAACGGCTTTGTAGGATATAAAATTAATCTGTTGGACCTTTTGTCTACCTTAAAAAGTATAAACTTTTAGCAAAAGGTCGCCAAAAATATCAAAAGTCAGTTTTGTCACCGAATGTTGTAGGTATCGAGAAATATACATATATAAATGTATATTTAAATAAGTAGGTACCTGGGTATGCTTTTTGTTTATCTATTTATGCGAATTGTCATTATTGTCATAGGTACATAAGTCAACTTGACATTCTAGAAATACATAAAATGGGAGGCCAAATTAATTTTTGCACTATCATAGTAGTTCGCCCTTTAGCGAGGTGGACTGACGTTATCAGCAAGGTGGCTGGCAGTGGTTGGACAAGAAGCTGAACATCGAGCTCAGCGGCGTGCAATTGGGGGGGCCTATGTCCAGAACTGGACGGAATCAGCCTGATGGTGATGATGACTGTCGTAGCTCAAGAATGATTAAGAACTTTTCCACATGTTTTTTGAGGAGGAAAGTCATTAAAAGTCTTCTCCGGTGAGGCGAAAAAGAATGTCTCTTATATACTAAGAACTACTTAGTTCCTTCTACACCAACCTACGACTACATTTTACCTATCGGAAAATAATCGAAGCCGCGTAAGATAGGAAAATAAGGAATACATGTACATGCACAGGGCCTTGAAAGGTTATCAAAATTTTAATCGAGCTTAATATAAATTGTGTATTGTTTTAAAAAAAGACATACGTACTATTATCAGTACAAGTAGCAACAAGAAGCAATATTTTTCCTAAATCATTATTGATGCTTATAATATTATGACATATTTGTTTTGTGACAAATGTAAATGAATTACTAATACTTTGGTCGCTTGTTTAGACAAAGTCTTATTGGGTTTTTTTCCAGTCATATAACTTAGTCTTAGTCATAAGAGAGCAGAAGAAGGAACGGGATAGTATTTAGTAAAAAGTCTGACACTCTCTCTCTCTCTGTCGCTCTACCGGCGGGCCAAATGGCTTATCCATTTGAAGACTTTCCCTGTTCAAAAAAGGACTAAGTCTAAAACGGTTTCTTATTTGCACGGATTTGCTAACAAGCTGTGCTTGATATGCTCAATTAAAAGATCTCAATATCTGCAGCACGGGCATTGAATTGCTCGATTAATTCCCTATGTAAGTACTGGTGTACGTGTCAAGTTCGTGAACGGGCGCCGTCTTTTGGAGCTGTTGAACTCTAAATTGTTTTAATGTTATTTTCTTTTTGGCAGAATGCTAGAGTTACTTGGAGAGATCTAGAGTTAACCAACTTAACACCTTAACCAAGAATTAGATTGAGACACGGTTTATTGAATAACAAGCTTTGAAATTTCTTGGTGTTTCCTCTTCATGCATTAATTTACACTTTGAAATGAGCAAATATGTAGCTGCACTCAAATATAGGATTCTTTACAATAAGAGAGCAAACGAGAAGATCACCTGGTGGTAAGCAATCAAGGCCACATGAGGACATTTGTTACACCAAGCATATTTCAATTGCATTGCCAGTCTTTAGAGGTTATTCATAGTAAATCTACGAAACAAAGCGTTGTTTCACACTGGTATTATGTAGGGCTGTTCTTGCATTATTCTGGTCGAGCCAGCGTGTTCGTGCTGAACCATGGCTCTCCCAAACTTAAATTGAATCTATCTAAAGGTCTTACCGGGACATGGTGACCCGGAAATTAAGACGCCCGCTTCTCACGCTTTAAGTACCCTCATGCATGATGGGTTGGAAACCTGGCAAATACCAATGTGACTGAGTTATATGTACTTTCTAAGATTATTTAAACGCCACTGACATATGATCAGGAAAAGATCGTGAGGAAACCTGGACTTAGAATTTCTAGCTATAACAAGCGAGGTGATTAATGCTCAAACCTTCACCGTGTGAGAAGAGGTCTTTGCTCAGCATTGGGCACTAGTAGGCTGGTGACGATTATGGTGATAGGGAAGACCTTACTTATGTTTTTATGTAGACAAACCTTACAATACAAGAGATAAGATTCCTCCATCAGAGACTCAAACCTCTTTCTAAATAAATACCCAACGCAAGACCCGAACCGCAAATTTAGCGCACAATTGCGCGAACTATAACAACTTAAATGTAAAGTAGGTCACTGAAGGTAAAAGACCTTTAGTATGTCATAAAAACGTAACAATAAATAGTTGATTGCATTCCCTAGGTTGGTACGCGTGCACTCTGGCGCAGAGAAAGGTGTCTTATTTTTCATGACGTCACTTTCGTTGCCAATACAGAGCTATGATTGAATAGAATAGGCTGTGTGTCTGATTTTCAAGTCGAAGAATTCAATCTCTTGTTAGACGATTATTTGGTTCTGTTTTATATCAAATGTTAAGGTTATCTAGGAAGTATCCAATACCTGCTCCAAAAATGGCAATAACCATACCTTTTTTTGTAGAGGGCAATCCATCAAATGACTTCTCTCGCCAAGAGTATAGTGAGAGGGAGTGTCACTATGTCAGACTCTTACTGATTAAAAACCTCGCCGTTCCGTCTCCTACTCGAGGCCAAAGCCGCAGGTACCTTGGGCTTGACCCGTGACCTACCTTTGTCTTACATGTAGGGACTCCAAAATTTAATAATGATGCAAAATATTGTTTAATTATTAGGTAATATTAATTTATTCCTTTTTGCTCATGATCTTAATTTTTACTTCTTATCAATAATTATTATCGCCATTGAAGATACGCAGTAAAATGCCAAAAATACATTTAAAAAATTATCAAAACAGATAAATTGCATCCACCCTTTTATCGCTCTACCGAATAATCAGGCACGATAATATATTTTTTCGCAGCTATTATTCAATAGCATCTTATTATTAAACATGACAGTATTATTATAATAAGCCTATATTTTCTTTAAATCTAAACATGTCCCCTCTTTGCATTCATGACACTACATTCGGTGCGGAGAGAGCGATCTGCTGACTGGCTGGCAGTGCGTACTCGGGCTCGGATCTCGCGCGACGTTTTAAAAAATAAAACACCGCGTTCCTTTTTCGAATTGCTGTCAAATCGCGCGCCGTTTTTCGTCTTCATATTTTTCACTACGCCATTTTTGTAAATTTTTATTTTCGTATAAATCGTGTGTTCCTTGTATTAAAATTTGTTTAACGTGTTAAAATTAAAATAGATTTTTTGTGTGAGTGTGTTTTACGAAAGTAAAAGGAGGTGAAACGTTGTTTCTTTTTTGGTAAGTTGTGTTTGAGCGTTCTCAATATTTTTTTATGTAATATTATCTTTTTTTGTATGTGATAATTTAGTTTTTAAGAATGACAAGACATAATTTTTAGGCACGTTCAATTCTTGTTTTTTAAACAGAGAATATTCTGACGGCTACCACAGATATTGTAAAAACATAATTAATTTTATTTACGACATAATTACGAAATCTTATCTCCATTAATATTGAATTTAATCAGCTTTACCAAAACAAATTACAAACCAACGTGAATAATTTCTATAATCTATTTCAAGCTGAATATACGAATGTCTTTGCCTACTTTTCAATATTGTTTTTGCAAGAATTACATTACTGGTCGCGACTGACTCATTCAAAATGCGACTTGTAACAGTTGACATAGATTTTTATTTTGCATACGTGCAGTTTTTTATCTGTTTGGAAACTGAGCTATCGTAAAATAATTTTATTACTAGCACACTTACCTAAGTGCGAATTAAAAAGGACATAGTATTTATACACTTAACTTAAAAAAATAAAAAAGGAGTTTCAAAGTGAAGTAGTGAGTTACAATTCTTGAAAACTCAGCCAATTTGTAATTTGAAACCAATGTTATCAAACTACGCGACTAATTGTTTACACGCCTGATAATCATTGTTGCAATAAAGAACAAACTCAGAAAAAACAAGCGGACACAATTACAAAGTTTGAGCTTAGAAATATTGTCAGTAAGAAGTCTTAGGTACATGGTTACCTAAATCAGAACACCAAACACCAAGCGAACGCCGGCGTTAGCGCACCTAGTGTTCTTATTAGAATTATCATCATCATCATAATTAGTCCATAAGTGCCCACTGCTGAGCAAAGGCCTCTTCTCACACGGAGAAGGTTTGAGTATTAATCACCACGCTTGCCCAATGCGGGGTGGCGATTCCAAACTTATAATTAGAAATTATAAGTCCAGGTTTCCTCACGATGTTTACCTTTACCGATTGTCAGTGGTTTCTAACTTACCATAGAACTAAAGTACATATAACTCGGAAAAAGTCACATTGGTACTTACCAGTTTTCGAACCCTCATGCAAGAGAAGCGGGCACCTGAACCTCCGGGCCACCACGACACGTCAAGTGTCTCGAATTAGGTACCACGATTGAAAGATTAAGGTATAGGTACTGGGCCCAAAATTTTTGCTCAAACAATAACTAATACACTTATAGGAGAGCCAAGCTTGGGCACGAATAGGCCGGTTGATCGAATTGATACCAAGACTTCAAATAAAACCAGCGTGAAAAAACTTCTTGTGTTGCAACCGCCTTTTGATTCGCTGTTTAAGTGAGGTTCAACAACTCTCAAATCCCTATACCCCAAAAGGTTAGAATGCACTTATTGTTGTTGAGAGTTTTCATGGGCGGTGCCGATTGCTTACCATGAGGTTATGTGATCCGTCTGTAAAAAAAATCTGCTTCTTTTTATGATGTAATCGGTTATAAATACTTAAATACTTTTCCATTTTATTATGCTACAATCATTTCATCAATTTTTCAATTTTTTTTATTATAACTTTCGTGAGACATTCAAATTATTTATTATGTTTTCGGCTTACTCACGTAATAATTTCAAGCCATGCTAGAGGCCCATATTCTAACTAGTCGAAACTAGTCGAGTATCTCGTCAAATTATTACGTGAGTAAGCCGAAAACATAATAAATAACTTTTTCAATTTATTAATATAATTTATTAGTAGGGTTAAAAACAAAGTTCTATTTTTTTATTGACTTACAGCATAATCGTTATTCAGCCCAAACACTTCTGGATCTACCAACTCCTTGGTACAAGCCTTCTTTTTGCTGGCATAGGTAGTTCTCGATTGCATTCCATATTTTTTTACTAATTCCTTTCATTTTAATTGGGTTATGTTTGGTACCTATTTATAAATATCTTATGCATCCCTGTCAAATTAATTTCTCATATTCATTCTTGCATTTATAATATCTTCGTATTATATACACTTTCTCTAAAAAAGCATAGCTCTACTACCTCTTAAAAAAAAAACTGTCCCGTATATTCTAAATAATATGTCTTTGATTTCATAATTGCTTATTTGGCATTGGCCAATTCAAAATTCAAAAACAGAACAGCTCTGATTGACTGACAGTAACTACCATTGGTAAGCAACGAATTATCAATACCGCTTACCACGCGTATTTGTTACGAGTTTTTTTCCGTGTTGTCCGCCTTTTGTGGATTAGGATTTCGGAGATTTAGGTAATGAGGGGGGATGGTGGAAAAGAGATCGAGATAGTTTATTTTGAACACAAAAAATGGCGAATTATAAGTAAATTTTCTTAGTAATCAAATTATTATAGAAGGAAGTTAGAACTCAAGTGAAGGTTAAGAACTGAAAGGTTAGGGTCAAGCGTAATCTAGTTATCAAATATAAAATAGTACTGAGTAATTAATATTAATAGTAGTCTAGAATGGTCATTTTAGTTATCTCGTTGACCTAGGCGTTTTAGAGACACTATTAAAAACTATGAAGGTTAAATTGAAAAATTATTCGATCAAGGTTTTTAATGGACATTCAAAGAATTTTAGCCAGACTTGAGATTCAAGTGTAATAAGGTACCGCGACCTTGTCCTGGGGCAGGAGAAGGAATGGGGAGGTGTTTAGTGAGTAAAGAGATCCCCCCTCACCCCCCAAAAAAAAAGAATATATGCTTTAGTAGCAATTTAATAAGCCTCTAAGTACTTCAAATGACACTCCCTCTCTCTCTCTCTCGTCTTACCCTGGGCAAGAGAATTGGTCAGTTAACTCCCAAAACAAAAGAATATATGCTAAGGTAGAAATTTTGTAAGTATCTGAGTACTCCAAGTTTAGTAGTGTCATCTTATGGCTGATAGATAAGTGCAGAATGTGAGTAATCATGTGGTCCTCAGAGCAGAAGAAGGACCGAGGTTATTTTATGATAGGGAATCTGTCACTCCCTCTCGCTCCACTCAGGGCGGGAGAAGTCTGTGGAAGACTTTTTTACTTCTAATAAAAAGTATAAAAACAAAAACCCAACTACGACAAAAAACGACGCTGAAAAAGTATAAAACAAGATTTTCAGAATACTGAAAGGCGTAGTCACACGTTACATATACTTACAACCTACCGTAGCACTTTGATTACGTGTGACTACGCCTTTCTTACTTAACTTTATTTTTTTACTCTGAATATTTTGTCCGCTAGAGGACGCCACATTAGATTTTGTGATGTCCTGTATAACCGTTCCTAATGATATGTCATTTGTCGAATTCGGATAAGTAGTTTAGAAGTTACGAGGGAACAGATGAACATACATACATAGCCTGTCAAAATTATATCCTTCCTTTTGCTTTGCCGTAGTCGGGTAAAAAGAAAACGCATGTTTTAACATTATCTTCATTTTGCTACTTATTTCTACATATAGAACCTAAGCTCTTCGTGACCCGTGAAAGTAAAAATTACGAATGTTCGTTAAAATTACTAAAATTGCCGCATAGGTAGGTAATGTACCAAAATTATTCTTTGTTAGTTTTTAACTTTCTATCGGTAGCCGGGGAAACACTTTCTTCGCAGAGATTTCAGATTCAGATAGTATTAGGGTCATAGTGAAACTGTAAAAAACTAACGTTGTATGAAGTAGTAAAGTATTTTTTCTAATTTTTTCTACGGACATTATCATCATCAGCCTATATGTGCCCATTGCTTGTCACGAGGTTTGGAAGCTTAAGTCAAAAGGACAAAATCATTTATTTCAATGAACCCTTAGAAGCACTTTTAAGCGTCAAACATTGCTTTAAGATGATAATTGTCAGTCTGTCCGTCAGTCCTCTTAGTGAAGCTATTGGCTCGTTCCAAAGTTATAGATAGATTCCGATGAAGAAGAACGAGCAAAAAAACTCTATGGTTAGGTACTCTTTTTAACCGACTTCAAAAAAGGAGGAGGTTCTCAATTCGACGCGTATTTTTTTTTATATATATATAAGTACACCAATTACTCGAAGACGCCTGGACCGATTTGCAAAATTCGTTTTTTATTCGATAGGGTTTACTTGCCATTTTTCAGTAAGTCTTATGTTATCGTTAGTTCTTTTTTTCTCTTCTGTTACACACTGTGTCTTATATTTTAATTATATTTCCTGTCTCAGGTCTTCTGGAAGAAATTCCAACAGGAATAAGTAGCACCTATGTAGGTACTCTTATTTTATATATGGATATTCCTCTGTGCTGTTTGTGTGCACATAATTATTAAATGAGTTTCACAAACAGATTCTTTATAAATTATTAAGTTGGTTATATCATGAGAAAACAGTGTAACGCTAATATTTACGACGTACTCATTGCTTTTTACAATTGAAAGAAATGGATAAGTACTTGACAATAATTAATCAAATTCAATCCACAGCTTTCTGTTAAATGTATACGGGAATATAAGTTGTGAAGTTATGATTTCCTGCGTCAAATAACATATATACTCTTTTACTTAACAACCTATCTTTGGCCTTAGTCAAGAACTCCGTTCATCATCAGCCTATAATTGCCCACTGCTGAGCAAAGGCCTCTCCTCACACGGAGAAGGTTTGAGCATTAATCACCACGCTTGGTCAATGCGGGTTGGCGATTTCAAACTTATAATTAGAAATTATAAGTCCTGGTTTCCTCACGATGTTTACCTTCACCGTATGTCAGTGGTGTCTAAATAATCATAGAAAGTACATATAACTCGGAAAAGTCACATTGGTACTTGCCAAGAACTCCGTTACGATATAATATTCCAAATATTAATTGAATAGAATCAAACATTATTCAAATACCTGCCAAGAGAAGAAAAATATCAAAAAAATATTCCTGTGTGTACAAAAGCCACAATGTAAATACAATATAAGGCATTCACGCTAAAGCGCTAATTATGTCAAACATACGTTAAGAGTTTTATATTGTTCATTGTCTCAGTTACTCCGATCTTACACTTACATCAATGGAATT